TCATGTTGAACACTGTTTCTCAGATTTTTAAGAGGTGTACATTTTCTTATAGTGTGATAATTTGAGATAGCTGGTCTATTTTTTCATAACTCTGATTTATTTTACTGAATGGCGCGGTATAGCCCATAACGAAATATCCAGTTAGTTCAGTAAATATAGCTGTGAATTGCTGTGATTCCTTGAATCCAAACTGGAGGGGAAAAAATCAAAATCTACTAATCTAGATGCTGTGGGAATCTTGTTTTGTGGACAAATTCTGGTGATGGTAACTTCTTTCTATTATATTTTTGCTTTTTCTTCTTTGCTTAAAATGTTTGAACTAGAATAGATAAAAAAAAAAAATTGGGACAATTAGCAAAGTTAATCTTGTACTTTTATAATTGTTTGGTAAATAGATATATGCAACACTGATTTGTATATTATTTTTGTAAATAGCCAAATATGATGCTGGACTGATTAAAAATAATGTGAAAATGCAATTGTACATGGACATTGGTATTCAACGAAATAATTAAATATTTCACTGTACTTACTTGTCAGACATCAAATTCCCAAATGGTGTTTTCAATTTAAAACAAACACAAAAAAGGGGGATACAATTTCACTGTTGCAAGAGGTGATTGTTGATTTGAAATGTGCCGGCTTCTTCTACTATCAGATGAGGGCATTTTTTTTTTAGGCTTGAAGGGCTTATGGCCTGGTGGCTTGGGTTTGTGACATAATCAGAGGGCCAGGCATGCCAGGGGTTCGAATCCAGCTGCAGGTCATTGTGGTTTCGGGCAAGCCGCTTAATTCGCCCCACTTGCCTCTCTCGACCCAGGAGTATACAATGGGTACCGACATTAGGGGGGGGAGTAACATGCAATGGACTGGCTGCCTGGCATCCCGTCCAGTATGAATAGAAATATTCTCAGTTGTTTCATGCGAAGAAAACCGCGATAGAGGCCGGCCTGATGGGCCGGTATTGGCTGGTGACAGACTTCCCTTTATAGCTCTGCCACCATGGAAAGGGCTACTTGATTTACAACACGTCTCACTACATTTGTGCGATCACGGTTGACTACGCTCAACTTGTCAGTCCAACAAGCCAACTTGAAATTTGCCATTGCCGAGACATTGAGTGGACTGGCCCAAGTGGTTTATATAGACCACATTACATTTTGGAGGATCCAATTTGACAGGGGGTCTACCTGATGTTCCCCCGAAGTCCTTAGGATTAGGGCAAGGGTTAGGGTGAGGGGTAGGGGTTAGGGTAAGGGGTTATGGTTAGGGTTGGGGAACGTCGGTATTGGAAAACATAGGTATTGGGAACATAGGTATGCACCCTTTGACAGACCTTACCAATTACCTACCTCAGAAAGAAAGCAAATAATTAAGTACTTGGTATATTTTATGATTAAAGCAGCAGTGCTCAGATTTTTTTTTTTGGGGGGGGGCAATTTCGATCTGGAACTTTTAAGGGTTTTGGGACAGGCTCATCGCACAGTTCGCCCTTTCTTCTTTACTTCAATGCCTGGATCGATGGATCCACGCTGAGGATTTGCTGAACGTCTTTACAGCACACCAGACTATTCTGATGAGGTTTATCACCTAATGCACGGCCTGAGATACAATTAAAAATGAAACAAAACATAAATCTGTTTGTTTAGTTTCGGTGATTCAACAAAAATAGAATAATCGAAAATCCGATTATCGATGGATTAATCGGTACAATCGAAAGATCGATCTTAAATATCGTTGGATTGATTGATGATCATTAATTGATTTTGTCAATAAGTACCGGTAGATTAATCGGTAATTTATAAAATACGACCTCAATAAATGTAGGGCAATGAATTATTATTCGAGTAACACCAAAAGGTCTTCCGACTTTGCGCCTTCTTCCGACTTTGCGCCTTCATTCTGGTAGGCAAGTAGGGCAGTCATTATCATACTCACATTCTTTCCTAAAAAAAAAAGGAAAAAAAAAAAAGGCCAATCCAGCTCCATCGTCTGCGTTTGACTTCCCAACTTACTTTCGTGGAGTGATAATTTGGCCAAAATATTTGAAGAGCACTAGCACTCTTTAGTATATCGAATATAAACATGGCCTACTCATCAGGTTCATCCCGTGGTTCTAAGCCGTCACTCAAGGCTATAACAGAGAAACAAAAACACTGAATAACTGATGACACCGGCATGGCCGCACGTTTACTAAAAACTATAATTATTTATTACAAACTTTGTCAGTTTTACATGTGAAAAATATTTGTTAGAAAAAAACATAATTCACCTACATTTAAATGTTTACGGTTCAGCATAGACGAATTCACAAAGTTTGATAAATTTAATTAAGATCCACTATTGCAGTGGTATAAGGTACACTGTACTAAAATCTGGACTCGACTTGGTTTCTCTCTCTTCCTCCAACTGTAATTAAAAAAAGTAGCAAGGCACTGAATTGTACAATGTATAAGGACGTTTTTTGTTCTCCCAGAGAGTTGTAGATATGGAATGGGCTTCCAGAAGTGGCGGTGAACGCAAAAACAACGAACCAGTAGTTAAAGGCAAGATTGACAAGTACATGTACTGGAAAGAAAATGGATATGTGGCGCTAAAAGGTTTCACCCTGTAAATTAGGCCGTTTTTTTTTAATTACTTGGATTACGGAATTTTTGGGTCCCCATTTCCGGCGGCGAGCGGGAAATGAAAAAAAAAAAAAAAAAAAAAAAATGGGGGCGCCCTATCATCCAACATGGCGGCGCCCATAGAGACATGAAGAAACAAAAACGGGCACGAGAATGAACAGTCACTGCATTTTCAAAACCACGGTTTCAAAGAAATAGTGACCATGGAGTGACCAACGGCCCTTTCCTTTCTTTATTTCTTCAAACCTGTGCAATAATTGGTACTGGCGTATATTTTATGAGTTTTGTAATGCTCTGTGTACAAAGAATGGCAGCAACTAAATGAAAAACCGTGGCTCATAACAAACGCGTAGACTGTAGGTTCCGGGTGCTGTGGCATCGTGAACGTACATGACGTGACCCAGTACAGTGCATAGCTAGCTAGGTTGTCCGATTCCATGCATGCACCAAACAGAGGACTAGACCACTATTCACTACGGGGGAGCGGTATAGTTTCACTGTACATGTACTGTTGAACAGAACGTGACCCGTAATTTCAGAATATCTAAAGTATATATTTCTAACAACGCCTTTCCAAACATCTCCTTTAGAACAATAGAAATACACATTTTACACAAAAGGTGCAAAGGTACGACTGGCCATGCACAATATTTACGGCCACGTGTGGTCTGTGCACGGACTCACCATGTGCACCATACATGGCTGCGCGCGGCCCGCACGGCACAGTCTGTAGTCGTCGCCAGTCTAAGACCCCGTTCCCACTTGATCCACCAATTGGGGGATCTGATCCACCTTTTGCCAAATTGCCGGATCAGATCCCCCAATTGGTGGATCAGATCCGGCAATTGTGTGTAGTGGGAACGCTAACCGTTATAAGGTGGATCAGGATCAGATCCACCTTTTCTGATCCACCTCTGGACCAGGATACAGATCCCCCAATTGGTGGATCAGATCCGGCAATTGCAGGATCACGATCAGATGGGAACGCAAAAGGTGGATCTGATCCGGCAATTTGACCTGTTAACATCCGCCCGGTGCACGAGTGGCGCGAAAATGTTGCGGTCTCATGAACGAAGAAACACGTTTTCAGGCGTGTAGCTCATGTGGACATTTCCAGCGTTTACAACATGCACAATAAACAACCGCTGAACTACGGGCTAGCACCGCGCATGCAAAAGCGCACGTGGTATCCTAAAACTACACTATAGGCCTTATTTTTGTTGCGTGTTCGTCCATTACTAAACCTTTTTCATTCCTGAAATTTTACTTATTTTTCCATCCATAAATGACTCTGAGTCCGCACTCACCAAAAGACTTCACTTTGGCACAGAATCATTGAAAAGCTTACGAGTATGCGATGGGAATAGTGCCGATAACGCGGTACGTACGGGGGTGACAAATCTGAAGTATTGATTATAGAAAATTGGAAAATGATGTCGTAGTACATCATGTGACCGTTTCTAACCAATGAGAAGCTTCAGAACCAGGGAATCCCTTATCGATGCATTGGTTTCTGCCGTGATGTCACACGTGAGCGGCTCTGTTGGATTTCACCTTTTAATTTATCCACGCACGGATCCTCTACGGATCCGTGATTTATGTTGGTGAATTCGCGTAATTTTTGTATGTTAATTCTGATAGTGCTGTTTGAAAACTGACCCATCCTGGCCTAGCATGCAACCATGCAACAATGGCACTCCCACAGAGCGCGCGTAATTCCGAACTCAGTGACCTTTCGGACCCAACATTTCCGTACGAAAAGGTGGATCAAGCATAAGTGGGAACGCGACTTGCGGTTTCGTTGCGGTAAGATAACGATCACACCAAAATGCCGGATCTTGATCCGCCTTTTTCCAAATCAAGTGGGAACGCGGTGTATGTCATGTCGTTCGATCAAACCAGTACTAATACTATGGTTTACAGGCCTGGACAGCGCGCAATGTAGAGTTTTTTGTACAATAGGCACATTTTTTTTTTTTTTTTTTTTTTTGGGGTAGTCAGAATGAACAATTTCCGGCGGCGATTTTTTAAATTTTTTTCAAAATTCCGATTTTTTCCGGCGGCGATTCCGTAATCCAAGTAATTAAAAAAAAACGGCCTTACAGTGTTAAGTGTGAGTGTTCAGTGTAAATGTCAATGGTACGGTAGTAGAACAGCCCTTTCATTGTGGTTGCATCATGAGGGGAACCCATGAGTGAGAAATGTGTCAGTATTCGGTTGCATGCATGTGGGAAAACACCCGATGAGAAATATAATTATAGAATGGTCCACAATGTGCTCTTGAGAACCGCCGTTGCATGATAAATCTGTATTGGCAAGATTTTTGTTAAAAAAAAAAATGGTACAGTACTCATCAGACTCTCTCGTGTTTTTTTTTTAAGTCTGTCAAGACTACAACAACAGAAACACAACGGATTGACAGCGGCACGGCCAAACATTCACATTGTACATGCACGAACTAATCATATTGAAAACTTTGTTAGTTTTACACATGAACAATATGTTAGGAAAAACATAATAGATAAATTTACACATTTTGATAACTTAAGATCCACTGATGCAGTAAGTAGTAAGGTGTGCATGCACTATGTACCTAAATCTGGTCTCGACTTGGTTTCTCCCTGTCTTTCTAGTTTTAATTTTATTATACAATCAATACAAAGAAAAAGTCGCATTAAAAACCAATTCTAGTATTAATTGTCTAAAACTATAGCTAAACCGTGTACATGTAGTCAGTTGTATTTCATGGTGACTGAGGAGTGCATCTCCGTTTCTCGCTTGGACTTGGGAAATAGTACAGTTCTGTGTCATTGAACAGGACTGCATTTTTATCCATCCATTTGGACATGGTTTCCGCTCGCGTCAGCATGATCCGAATCATTGCTTTCACGTCTGCCTCAGCATGATGAGCATCGGGTATGGTACCCCCAAAGACCCTACGGTAAATATTCCCCAGGGCATACGAGACAAACCCAGCCCGGTCGCCATCGGTTGCCTTGTACGCTTCCAGCGAGTCCGCGCAAAGAATGTCCTCGCCCATGCGTTGCCCGATCTTTTGAAGTTCGGTCCGCAGCAGCCGGAAATCAAAGTTGTCCCCGTAGTGCGCCACGAGACAAACCGGCCCCTCCTGCCTCGAGATGAACAGCTTCAGCATCGTCGCTGCGTCGCCATCAAAGATCTTCTTACTACTTTGTGAGAGACTGTGGCTATCCAGCTTCGTCATCTCGAATGCCTTGTCGGAGACCTGTTTGTTGGGATACACGCACAGGCTAAGTTTGTCAACAACTCTCGGTAGGCCCATTCCAGATCCGACAGCATCAGTGGATCTGCCGACTGCAGCATCATTTTCGCGTGAACTCGACAGCAGGGCCTCCCGATGAATGGCCATCAAGCAAATTTCCGTCATCTTTGGGCGCTCCTTGATAGGATCAATACCCGAGGTTTCCAGATCTAGGAAAACAAAAGTTTTAATGCGACTTGTCGTTACTTGATCAGTCGGTGTCTTCTCCATGATAGTTCCGAAACTTGGGAAATTATACACTCTGCAAAATTGGGCAAAAATGTTTCACGCCGAGGATAGGACGGAGCACCATGAAACTTCGTGACAGAAATCCTCAATTTGTCCGTGACACCAGTTAGTGTTTGGCACGCTAAGTTTTTCAAACAATGCCAGCCAGCGCGGACATGGTACATGTCACCAGGTGGAGCAATCACAAAGGCACTGCACGTACGTGTAGATCGAGCTTGTTCACTTTTTATGTGTAGACTTGCAGCGGACCTTTTTCATTTGAACATGCAGTTCGTGTTGCCTAAATAATTTCCGAGTGATGTTAACCTCGTTTCCTATACATGTAGTAAGCCCTGGGATAGGTAATGGATTTCCACTTTCCTCATAATTATGAATATAAAATGTGTCACTGTTTATTGGCTGGATAATATTGTAACATATTTAAAATGTTACAATCTTATCCAGCCATATGCAGTGCCACATTTTCCCCCACTTATTATACTGACTACATTTTGGCGAAAAGGAATTGTGTTTCACGCCGCAACGAAGTGACGCCGTTTTAACCCCAGACACTGATGTTAAAAGCACAGGCTGATTATGCCTCATTTGCATACCGTTATCCAAATTTGTTTTTGGATATGCAAAATATGATCCAATACCAAGGTGAGAGAGCAGGTGGTGGTGGAAGCGTACTGCTCTACACTCTGGGAACGAGGTTGCTGGTATTACGATATTCATCTACTCGTCCAACAATGATTGTAAACAAGGAAGGCGCAATAATAATGCAATAACCTGCATTGCTTCGTCGAAATTCAGCCGAGGTTACGAAGTCGAGAGATAGCATAGTAATTTCGTAACACTTGCTTAATTTCGTTGTTGCAAATTGCAATATTTTTTTCTTAGGCCTATGGCGTACCGGTATGGTGTGGACGACAATTCTGTCTCTAACTGTCCGGGGGACTAGAATTACATGTACTTGGGTAAAAGCGTTCCCCCGGACAGATTTACCGAGTCTCGAGTCGCCGGGGGGGGGGGGCAGAATTATCTGTCACAGCGGTAATATTTAACGGTGCGAATTTTGCGACAATTTTTTGAATCGATAAATTACAACAACAGACACCAAAAACACTGACGAACTGACACCAGCAAGGCCAAACGTTACCATTGCACCACAGTATAGCACGTACTAATCATTACAGTTTATTACAAACTTTGTCAGTTTTACACATGAGAAAAACTTTTTGGAAAGAGACTAAAATTCACCTACATTACAATATTTACGGTTCAGCATAGACAAATTCATACAATTTGATAAACTTAAGATCCAAAGTAGTAAGGTATGCATGCACATGTACTATTCAAATCTGGACTCGATTTGGTTTCTCTATCTCTTTCTCCAGTTGTTACTTCAAAAAAAGGTTACACGAAATACTTCAAGCCACAAATTAATTATTAATTAAAATACACATGACTGTATCAATATAGCCTAAATAACAAATTCATTAAACAATGCTAAATTGAATTATTTCAACTGACACATAACTCCCATGACATCTGTCGATTCGACGATACAAAATACACCTGTTCTATCTACAACAATTCTCACAATACAAAGAAAAACTCGCACTGATAACCAATTTTAGCATGATATAAAATGACTCCACGTTTTGAAAATACTCTTGTTCTACCTACAACAATACTCACAATACAAAGAAAAATCGCACTGATAACCAATTTTAGCATTGTCCAGGCCCATAAGCTAAACTGTGTATTTCATGGGGACTGAGTACAGTCGAGTCTCGTTATATAACAAACTCGTTCGGACCTAGCCAAATTGTTTGTTGTATCAGAATTCTGTATTAAGAGGAACATAGGCTTTATGTTTGTTATAACCAGAATTTTGTATTAACAGAGTTTGTACTAACGAGAGTCGACTGTACAAGACTTATTTGGCCTACATCTGTCTTTCTTGCTCGGACTTGGGATATAGTACATTTCTGTGTCATTGAACAGAACTGCATTTGTATCCATCCATTTGCACATGATTTCCGCTCGCGTCAACATGATCCGAATCAGTGCTTTCACATCAGCCTCAGCATAATGCGCATCGGGTATGTTACCCCCAAAGGCCCTGCGGTAAATTTCCCCCAAGGCATACGAGACAGCCCGATCATCATCGGTTTCCGCATACGCTTTCAGCGAGTCCGCGCAAAGAACGTCCTCGCCCATGCGTTGCTGAAGTTTACGAAGTTCGGTCCGCAGCAGCCGGAAATCAAAGTTGTCCCCGTTGTGTGCCACGAGGCAAACCGGCCCCTCCTGCCTCGAAATGAACAGCTTCAGCATCATCGCTGCGTCGACATCAAAGATCTTCTTACTACTTTGTGAGAGACTGTGGTTATCCAGCTTCGTCAGCTCAAAGGACTTCTCGGAGACCTGTTTGTTTGGATACACGCACAGGCTAAGTTTGTCGGCAACTCTCGGTAGGCCCATTCCAGATACTACAGCTTCAGTGGATCTGCCGACTGCAGCATCATATTCGCTTGACAGCAGGGCCTCCCGATGGACGGCAATCAAGCAGATTTCCATAATCTCTGGATGCTCCATGGGAACAAGACTCGAGGTTTCCAAATCAAGGAAAACAAACGTTTTAATTTGAGTTGGCATCACTTCATCTGTCGGTATCTGCTCCTGATAGTTCGACTTGGGAGTGGAAGATATATGAACTTGATGGACAACTTACACTCCGCAAAATGTTTCAGAGATGATAATGTAACATTTTCATTTGTTCAGTTTCGTGAACAGAAATCCTCAAAAAGTGTTGTCACTGTTTGGCACACCATACGTGGGCACACTGTGTTTTTCAAACGATGCGCCGACTGGCTCTGCACGTGCATCTCATGACCTATTTCATTGTTATGCGTAGTGTCTTGTTCAGACTTGCAGGGCCTATTTAGTTTGAACATACAGTTCATGTCACCATAAGTGATGATGCACAATTTACTAGGATTGCGATATTCATCTACTCGTTTAAAAACAATAAAGTAAACCCTCCAAATAAGGAACACGCGAAACAGGTTTTAATCACGTGACCTACGGCTGTTGGTACTTACATACTTACGCCCTTTAAGTAGATCCCGTAAAATAATTTGTCTAGTCAATGCGGGATTTTTTTAAAGTGTATTTTACACAAAGAGTAGAAATGAAATGTTTTTCAACGTTGATAAGATTATTATAGCTCCTGTGCATAGAAAAATGAACTACTTATACAAATATTGAAAATCACAAACGGAGGAGCGCTGTTCGTTTACATGCACAAACCAACGGCGCGGTGAGCTGTACAGAAAAAATTCTGGATTTTTGTCGGTAAATTGTAGTGGGCGGAGGAAACAGAAGTTCGAGCGGGGTTCGAAATATTTTTCGAAAAGGTAACAAATATGTTGATAACAGAAATTAATTTTGTGGAAATTAAGATCTGATTCACATATATAAAGCTTGTTTTGTTGCAACAGAATGTAGTTGGTTGAACTTATTATCAGTATGAATGCTTATGCCGTCTATTTCCGACATTTATTTTTCTTGAAGGGACAACATAAGGCGGGCGGGGCCATTTTTTGGAAAGATTCCCATATCTGGCCATCACTAATTTTTCGGAAAAATGTTTTGCAACCTGACGCCACTTTTTTCTTCATATAGCCTATCAATCATCTCAAAGAAAGTCTTTCAATAACAAGACATGAATCTGGCACTGAGAAATAGTTCCAATTTTGTCATGTTTGTTAAGAAAATGTTCTTCATGTTGTTGACTCTCCATAAACTTTGTACACAATTGCGGAAGTGGCATCAGGTTGCTACATTTCCCATTTTTTTCCTTTCAGTGACCAATCACTATCAGAAACTGATATTGTGTCTTAAAAAGTCAAAATTAGGGCACAACTAATTGAACTATGACTATAGAATACAGGGCCACTCCATTCTATATCTGCGCATCCATGGCTGCGTGGATGCGCAGTTGGTTTTCTATAGCGCCCATATTGATTAAAATTTTCTTCATGCCCACTCCGCATCTGCGCATCCACGCATCCAAGACGGAATGAGTGGGTAGGTTGTGGTTTGTTTTAGAGAAAGGGAAATAAAGAAGTGGGTCCTATAGGGTAAATACAGTAGAGGGTCCTGGGGTAAATAAAGTGCCCTCTAATGATGACTTCATGCTCATCCACCCCGCGTCATGCATCCAAGACATCCCAAGCCGTTGTCAATAATTCACTCTCTATAGCGCCCTCTGTTGATCACAGTTTACTTCATGCTCATTCACTCTTTATACCGCCCTCTATTTTTTGATACATCTACGTTCATACCATACCGATCTTTGGTTAACCGTACCCGACCCGCGTACGCATATAGGAGAAGTCTCATATACCAAAGTTGCTTCGTTCTCAAAAGAGTGCCATTCCACTTAACGACCCCACTCCTCACATCGCATCCAACTACGAAAAAAAACTTTTCCGGCGTGGCCCTGTATTCTATAGTTGCTCCAAAATTAGCAGGCAAATATTGAAGTATTTTATTTACTGAGAAAACACTTAGTCTCATCGTGATCATGGAGATAGAATTCTAACTCTACCATGGTGTTAGTTGGAAAGTTTGGGACCCTCAATACCGACCACCGTGTGTGGCAAAACTGAAAGACTATTCCTTGCTTCCTCCATATATACATCAGTGTTTCCCCTGCCCATTCAAATGTGAGGCGGCCCACCTCGCTACTTTCGGTGACCACCTCGCTCAACTTTTGCCAATATCACCACCTCGCTGTGAAGATTTGCAGTAAAGGAAATACTAATCGACAAATTTTCATTTTGTGTAATTTATGAGCATTTTCCTTGACCTTGATGTATCAAGAACTCACAATTTGGATGTGTAAATGGAATCATCTCGCATTTTTGTAAGGGCAGCATCCTTTTGAGCTCGCAAACTGTGTCAATTTTATTTCAATCATCAGTTTAAATTTTTACCACCTTGCTCATTTCATTAGCCAGGGGAAACACTGATATACATGTGTACCAGGCATGCAACTTTTCCTCAGATCAGCTGATTTCCTCGTTTTTGACCTCCATGATGTGTGTCATTGAGAATAGAAAAAACGCTGTGCAAACTCTTGGAAAGAATTGAATTTCCTCCTTTTTTTGTTACTTCCCAGTTGCATGCCTGATATACATACGCCACCACTAGTTTTTCCCTGCAATGACTCATCAGCCATCAGACGGGGATAAACATGTCCTAAAAAGTGAAATTTAGCAGGGAAAATATTGAAGCATTTAGTTGGGAAACACTTAGCCCCATAAATGTGGCCAATTTACTGGTCTACCTCCGTAAATAAAAGCCACACTTGAACATGTACCCGAAAATGTAGAACTTTGTCAAGTTTTATTTTCACATTTACTTATTTAGACTTGTTTGTAGTTTACCCTCTTTAAAGCGATAGAAAATTAGTCCCCCCCCCCCTTTCAGACCTCTATAGTTCAGACAAACCTATGGAATTTTGTACGTTAAGTTTGGTTTGTCTCAGATTATTTGCATTCCGTGTCCATTTGTATATCATGAATTTGATAATATTTCACAAGCTGTGAAAATTCAATTTACCGTGATAGGTTAATTGACCTGAGACCAAGTTGACTTGAGACAGAGTTGACTCGGGACCGAGTTGACCTGGGACCTAGTTGACTTGGGACCGAGCTGACTTGGGACCGAGTTGACTTGGGACCGAGCTGACTTGGTACCGAGTTGACTCGGACCGAGTTGACTCGGACCGAGTTGATGTGGGACCGAGTTGATGTGGGACCGAGTTGATCTGGGACTGAGGCTGAGTATCTCATCTGGGGGCTTGGATTTTTTTTTTCTCCAAGAGGGCTGATTTTCCAAGATGGCAGATGAACTCTTACTCTTTCTCAACTCTTTTGCTTTCTAAATTGTGTGCAAAGGAGCTCTTACCTTTCTATAATTTGTTTGAAACAAATGAAATATTGTGGTGATTGTGTAGTGTGGGCCCCTCTTTAGTTTTGGTCAAATTAGAGTCCAGGGTGTTTTTTAATCACTCCAAATGGACTTTTTCAACCTAAAGCCAACTTCCCTTAAATTCTGATGACATAATTTTTACTAATTTTGAACAGTTTCTTGCGATTATCTTACGTGTTTTACGGTTGGTGCCATGTGTATCAACGTGATTTTGTGTGTTTATTGGCATCACGGTGATCGCCATAATTTTCATGTTGCATTTTGTGGTCATCATTATAGCTTAACCAGAACATTTCTCTAAAAAATTAAAACCCTGTCCTCTTTCTACAGCATACCTGTTGGTTTGTAATGTCGCTTACTAGTTTGGTAAGTGCAATAACCTAAAAAGGATAATTTTTATTCCCTTATAAGGAAGTGGGCCCTACATCACACAATCGCCGATATTGAATATTTTGACACTATATTTGCAAAGAAAATGTTGTTAAATAAAAAAGGAAAAGAGGCAGGCTGGAAAAAGGAAGCAGGCGGGAAAGAGAAAGTGTTTTATTTTTTTAATCGGCCTGAACCCAAAAAGTAATTTTAAAATTGAGATCTGACATGATTGATAAAATCAAACTTTGACATTGCGGTTAATTTTTTGCCATGTACATACATGTATTATTTATTCAAGGTGGCTGATTACAGCTGACATTTAACAGATTTTGCTATTTAATGATTTAAATAGGGCTGATATTGCTCATAGAGCTGTCAATTCATGCATGAAAACGTGTATATTGGCTGTTCAAAAAAATAATGGGGGGGGGGGGGCTTTGCAGCATGTCGCTAGTGGGGGCTGCGCTTTATAGTAGGGGGGGGGGGTGGTACACAGTAGCTTATTTATAAGTTAGTGAAAAATAGAGAATGTGAAGTTGGGCCTGATTTAAATCCTTGAGGGCTTCATCTTTTGTTTGAGTGAGATGGTTTGATAATCAAATTTGTCAATCTGTGAGCATGTTGACAATGTACACGCAGTCATACAGTGTACATGTAGTTGAAGGGACACTGGGTCCTGGAACAGCCCAATTGGGCTACAAAACGCGCTTTGAACGAGATTATGTTAACCGTAAAGAACATTTAAAACTAGGATAGAAACATCCACACAACTATCCTTTAAAAAATTGGCGTTTTTGTGTTATTCCTGAATTATGCATGCAAGAACGAATTTCGGGGTCCACTTTTGCGACCCCATAAATTCGAGCCGTTTGGATGCTAGTTGTGATTTCATTCGTACGCGTAAAGTGTTCGCCTTTTGCGGACGTTGAAGGAACCACAATTTTTTTTGCATTGGTGATTGGTCACTGCTGTTCCCGAGACACACAACGAGTATATCGTACACTGTATGAGAACGACACGAAAAACGTATTCGTACTCGGTCGTGTTTTTTTTTGTCTTTTCTCGGGAACGGTAAGACATTAGGTTGGTTTCCTTTCAACCACGTTTGAAATAGGATATGTAAACAATCCAAAACATGACATTTTCGGGGATTTCAGGACCTAGTGCCCCTTTGAGCTGCCCTAAAGATGAGATGAAACATCTATTATGGCACTCTTTTTTTATTTTCACTTTTTACAGCTTGAATTTGGCTGATTTTTTTTTCAGTGTTTAATATTAAACACCACTTACATGAAGTGTAACAGCCAAATTGGGCCCTTTAGAGGCATGCAAGGAAACAAGGATTTACTCGCTTTTTTTCCTTCTCATGAATGCCAAATCGAAAAAAGAAACCCACTGTTACAAAGTCTGGTGTAGTTTGGTGTTTCCTCGTTTTTCCTAAATTCCCAGTTGCATGCCCTCTGAATTTTTCAAAGTTTTGTCGCTCTTGAAATCTGTAAAAGTGAAATTATTCATCCCAGGTGTTTCCATGGTTACAGTGAACGAGCTCTTACGTCACTGGCCTTGCAGCTTGTGTGGTGCAATTGAAATGCACTGAATTCAATTTTGACTACTGTGCTTATACTTGGCTGTTCATCCAGAGGAAAGTATTGTTCGTCTGTAATTCGACCTCAAGCTGGTGTGCGTTTTCATGCAAAAGCAGATGGTTCAAAATCAAGATGCTATTGTCAGTCTGTATCAAGTGAATCTGAAAAAGAATGGGAAGATTGTGATTTTCATTGCTTTTTGCCGGCTAGATCTATTGAGGTGTCTGTAAAGAAGCGTGATGTAATATACTGTACCTTTTGTAAATTGAAGGAGACAACGAAGAAGATGAAGAAGAAGGAAAATAAAAAAACTGTGACCTCTGTACATGTCTGTTGTGTTGCTTACATAGAGCACTGAGAGCAGTGTACGTATGTGGGTGTAGTGGTCTATAAATGCTGTATCTAATGACACGTACGTCATTGCGGTTTCCTTAGGAATCCTTGTCATCTTGTGTGTC